AAACATTTAAGTATTTCAGCTGATAACCTTAGCAATAGCCTGAAAAATCCAGATTTAACTATGGCTATAGCAGTAGGTTTCAAAATTTAGCCATATTAGTTGGAGGATGGTTTCATTTAATGAACAAAGCAAAGGCCATTTAAATGCTGCAAGACACCTTTTTCAACTGTTGATTGCTGTGTTACTTTGCAGTATGGTGCATCTTCACAAATATCAAAAGGTGGCACCAGTTTTAAGAAACCAATCCAAACTTGGAGGGGGCAGCACAAAAATAATAGTGGGTACACTGCAAAGAACACCATTCAACAGTTACAGGGAGCAAGAAACATTGATGTTTATGTCTCTTCTCTGGGGTAATTCATGGAGTTTATTTCAGCTGTATTAACCTGGTAGAGTTGCAGACTGAGTGAAGGTTCTGTGCAATTTTGAAAACAAAAGATTTTTTCCAAAATGGTCGTAACATGGCATGAATTTTTCATTATGAAATTTGTTCAAAACATGTAAATTATGTTTGACTTGGTACCTTCTTGCAACATAAAGGTCCACAGGTTGCCTGACTGTACATTACAAACCAAACCTGGAATATACAAAATTATTGTTCAGTGCTCATTATTAAGCACATTCACAACATGCTCACAAGAATACACCCCCTGCCATTCAAGAAACTTGTACCTATATTTTCACAAATGAGATAAAGTTGGGGGAAATCTGTCCCTTTATCGACATTTTTTTAGTCTCTGTTCCTCTCCATGTCCATTTTTTTTTCCACGTTGCATTTCAATCAGTGCTGGGAGATGAAAAAGTTTGCACACTTCAATTTATGCTCAATTTTCAATTTTCACAACCATGTTGTTTGCATTCACAAACACTGTCCAGAGCATATGAGAAAAGAACAAAAAACAAGGGGTTAATCCTGTAAGCACATTGTAAGGAAAGTATTGTTTATTTTATGAAAACAGAATTTTTACGAGTTGGTTAATTTGTTTACATTTTTAGTTCGAGGAAAACTTGAGCTATGTTTATTTGATGTTATTTAGTTCAAACTTCCTCTGAACATCATAATCATCACATCATGAGTCAGAGAAACTTTAAACTGCTGGACTAACAACCCTACTGTACATAAGAAACCATGGATATCTGAGGTTGTGAAATTTTGAAATACTGGCTGGCTGGCAGGAAAGGAAAAACTAAGATGCAACTGTACCTTCAACCAAGCATAGAAGAAGCAGGCTAGGATTTGTCCCTCACCAACACTGCTAAATGAAACAGGACATGTTGACAACAAAACCAGCATTCATCAATAATAAATCAAAAGAAAAGGCAAAGTCACAAAATTAAATCATAAAAATGATTTACCTGTCCACATAATGTTTATCTTCGGGTTAAGTTTATTCCCCAAGGTAATGAGGTAATCAGATGTCTCTACAGTTGGAACAGCTCTGGTGCCACAGTACTCTAAACACAAGAACGATTTAATCAGTCTATAATAATATGTGAAATACCGTATTTACTCGTGTATAAGTCGAACTCGTGTATAAGTCGACCCCCCATTCTCAAGGTCAAAAATCGGATTTTTCATCATTTCTGGTTAAAGTAGTGAAATTCAGTCCAATAGAAATTTCCCAAAAAAGTTAATCTTTTCTTCCTAAGAATATACTGAAAACACGGTAAATTAAAAAAGCAGAGCAAAATGTAATCATGTGCTGTGAAGTTTATTAGGACTTGTTTATATCATCACGATTTAAACACACACGAGCACTTTGATTTACTAGAGAAGTATTTTACGATATTTGGAAGTACCGGTAAATCGCATTGCATTTAGCTAACCTTTATCTGAATGTTGAGTTTGAAAGGAGATTTAGAAGACCAGAGGAATGCCGAAGAGCTTCGAAGGATCGCTTGATGAAAACACCGCCATCTTGGAAAACTTGGTAACCAAACTACAAATTTGAGGAGTACTGGAAACTAACATAACTGCACGTGCTTTCCGAAGTTTGCGTGCGCGAGGCAATAGAGAAAAAATAAAGAAAGAACAGGGCAGGGCAGGGAAGAAAATAAAGAGAATAAATAAAGACACATTTAATTCGCTGTTGGTCATTGACTTTTGTTAACTTGGTGGCTCCTAAAGGAGCCGTTTGTAGAGTAAGCAAAGTCCCTGCTCACTCGAAGCCAGCGAATTCTTCATCATCGCTGTCGCCAAACAAGTTCTGCCACTCTCCTGATGTTAGGTGGTCTGCATACACTCCATCTTCATCCTCATCATCAACTGGAGTGGTAGGCACATCTTCAGTTTCCTCCCAGAGAATTTCGTCCTCTGTGCCATCCATCGAATTGGAAATGCCGCACTTCTTGAAGGATCGGGCAACCATCTCGGCCGGAAGACTACGCCAGGCATCCAGGACCCACAAACATACAGTGGGAAGCGATGCTGCTCTCATGTTTCCAGCAGGAGTGAAACTCTTCTGGCCTTCAATCATCCAGTTATTCCATCGCTCCCGGAGACGATCCTTAAAAGGCTTGTTTAGGGAAACGTCTAGCGGTTGAAGAATGCTGGTTAAACCACCTGGAATTACAGCGATGTCGGTGTTTGTTTGGCGTACTGCTTGCTTCACTGAGTCGACAAGATGAGCTTGGAAGGAGTCCCAAACAAGAAGACTTTTCTTTCTCAGAAGACCGCCGGGTCGTGACCGCCATACTTTCTCTACCCACAGCTTCATTCCAGCTTCGTCCATCCACCCCTTCGGATGACAGTGTACGAGGACTCCAGGTGGAAAGTTCTCTTTCGGCAAGGTCTCTCGTTTGAAGATCACCATGGGCTTCAGCTTCGTTCTGTCTGCCAGGCACGCAAGTACGACAGTGAACCGCGATTTCTCGTGACCAGTTGTGTTGACCAACACAGTTTTCGCACCTTTTGCATTCACGGTTCTGGCTGATGGCATGTCAAACCAAACAGGCATTTCGTCCATGTTCCCAATGTGAACAAGTTGGTAATTTTCCCTCCTTCTGCTCTTGATTACGAAGCTGTAGAAGCTTGTGATCTTCTGGTCAAGATCTTCTGGAAGCTTTTGGGCAATCTTCGTCTTCTGTCGAAGAGCAAGATTCTTCCGTCGAAGGAACTTCGTGCACCAGCAGTTGGAAGCCAGGAACCCGGTTATCTGCAATTCAGCGGCCACTGCCTTCACCTTGATGACTACCATGTTGCGGGTGACAATGTAGCCACTCTGCCTTTGCTCTTCAATCCAATGGAGAAGCTTGTCTTCTAACTCAGGCCACTGGCACGGTTTCCCGCGGTTGCTGCATTTGTTCTTCGGCATGCACTTTAGTTTCTCGACTTGCTTTCGCCAGTCGCGAACCAACTTTTCGTTGACGCAGAATTCACGGCCTGCTGCACAGTTGTTTGACTCCTGTGCGAACTTGACGACTTGCAACTTAAACTTAGCGGAATATTTCATACGTTTTGAAGACATCTTCGTAAACTCGGGAACAGCTGAGAAGTGGCGTGGTCGAGATCTTGTTAACAATGTAACTTAAAACACTTACAGGGAGCGTTTGTTTGTCTTTCCTTTTAACCTGTAGTTGCAATGTAATTGGTCCATTTCTGGTTGCTAACAACAAGACCACATGAACAACAGCATTTGCCAGGTCACTAAGCTACTGTAATCAATCGATGAAAACGAAAGTTCAGCACCGTAAACACCAGCGAAGGTTTAAGAAAAATGTCTGCTCTACAGATCAAAAGACAATAGAAATCATCTCCAGTAGGTCTGCGTTTAAACCACTGAACATTTATAATTTCACACTTTTTTGTTGATGAAAAATGTGCTGAAAACTGACAAAACTCGAGCACAATTAGCACTGGTTTTGTAAACTCGGTTTTCCTAACGGACTTCAGGTAATTGTTATGCTAATTTCCTGTATTGCTTGGTCAGGTCTTTGTGTATGACTTGTGTATAAGTCGAGGGTGATTTTTGGGATGATTTTTTGGTCATAAAAGGTCGACTTCTACATGAGTAAATACGGTAGCTGTTTTATACATTATTTGCACGCTGAATGCTCAGGTGTGATGTCGAAAGTGATAATTAGCATTTGTATGGAAAGGCTTTTTCATGGTTAAAGATGCTACGCAGAACAATCTTTAAAGTGTAGTTAAGACAACAAAAGTAAAGGTGAATCCAGACTAAGTAAGGACCCTGAATGAGAGGTGTTCGGCTGGATTTTGAAAGAAAAACATTCTGGGTTCTCTACAGTGGTGAATGTTAGTAGTATAGGGGGGCGGTTTGCGGACTGACCAATCACAGGGCAGGAAAAAGTAAACAAATGCCTAAATATGGGCATAAGAATGGCTCTCGACCAATCAGAGGGCAGGAAAAAGTAAACAATACCCATGTTAACCGTGAGGGTGTTTTAGGAGGTCTGGAGCGAGTTTTTGGAGGAGGGGAGCGGAAGTGACGACCGACAACGTGTTCACAGTTTTCAAGTTTTAATGGGTTTTACAATTCTAATAAATTCTTTACATCACACTTGAAAACTCTATTGTACTTTCTTGTGTTTTAACTTACTAAAACAATTCTGTTACTTTATTTGGAGCCATTTTTCGCACCCATTCACTGTGAAGAAAGGAACGAGGATGATGGTGAATACATTCAGGTTGGGCTGACGGCAGACAATGGGATGCTAAGATGGCGACATCCTTGAACAACAGAAATTTGATGAAGTTTCAAGCCTGTCTTTTTATCCGGAAGAAAGGAACGAGGATGATGGTGAATACATTCAGGTTGGACCGACGGTAGACAATGGGATGTTAAGATGGTGACATCCTTGAACAACAGAAATTTGATGAAGTTTTCAAGGATGTCTTTTTATCCGGATAGGTTTTGTACGTCTCAAGAATTTTACGGAGAAAAACATCTTTCAGCAGTTCAAATCTCATCGGGAAATGTTACGATGTTCTAACGCCAGATAACGTGTTCAGTGTTCAAGTTTCATTTTCAATTCGTGTTTTACATTTCTAATAAATTATTGACATTGACCATGTCGGTATCATCGAGGATGGCCCGAGTGTATCCGTAAAGATATGAGAGGAAGGTGTCGGGATCGACGACGCGTTTGTCGAAGACGACTTTGTAGCGGTTGGTTTCTTCGACCGTTTCTAATGTTTTTGTTTGAACATTGCGTTGAATCTTGTGGGGATTGTGTACGTGGATTACTCGTGGTTCTTCGTGGAGTTCGGTGACTTCGTTGACGACGTTTTCTTTTAAGAGTTCAAAGTTCAATTGAGCTTGGCCCCGGGTGTTGAGGGTGAAACCGCGTACCTTGCATTCGACTTTACCGTCGCTGGTTCGGTAACCGTAATTCTTGGGGCCAGCGGACACAAACTCCACGATGTGAGTACCTGGTTTCAATTCGCTGGTGAATTCACCAAGATGATCGCCTAAGGGCGGCATGGGTTGCCCTTCTCGATGCGAGAAGATGATGGAGTCCGTGTCGAAGTACAGGACTTGTTGGGGTTGGAGTCGACTGAGTCCTTCTCGGTATAACTTGAGTCGAGCCCAACAGGTGGTGAAGCAGGCCACGAAAATGTTGATGTTGACTTGAACTTTTTCTTCGTCGTGAACGTGTTTGTAGACCAATTCGATCATCTCGTCGCTCATGACACGAAGGGTTTGAATTTCTCGACTGTCATCATTCAGGAGGGTGTGAAGTCTGGCGGGGGTCGAAATGGCTTCGACTTGACTCTTCTTCCCTTGTTGACCGTACTTGCCCCAGAAGCTGTTGAGCATCATTTTGGCCAGAGACCGCCGACCGGGATTTTTTTGAATTTTATCGGCCTCGAGTTGAATGCCTTCATGGGTTAGGTAATCGGTGATGTACTGTTGGCGTTTGGTCGCATCGTCCCCCACCCAATCGGGCCATCCACTGGCTTCTTGCTTGATCTTGAGAAAAGTGTTCACGTAGGATGAGAACAAGTCGTTAGAGTTGCGCGAAAAGTGCCAAATTTCGTACACGTATTGGATGACGTACCCACGATTGATGGCTTCTTGCAATTCGGGGGTGGGCCACGTACCCACCAGACATCGCTCTTGTTCGCTGTGAACACAGTGATGACTACGTCCGGTCAACGGTTTGGGTTGTTCGGTTTCCACACAAGTCCTGCACAGTGGAAAAGTGAGTTTACCCCCACTGCGATGGGGTAAGACGGGATGATACAACCCAAAGGGTGGAAGGATCTTACATTTGACCAACCCAAAGTACCTGGAGATGTCAGTGCCTTCGGGTTGACTGATGATTTTAGGATGACCCATGGGGTAGAGGCAGTTTTTGTTGGTCCAGGGATAGAGAGAGGTGAAATCCAGGTAATGCAACTTTTCTCCGTCTTCCACTTGATGATGAAGTTTGACGGCATTGGTGCGACCCCCGTAGAACGCGTCTCTGGGTTGGAGTCTGGGGACCAGGTCAAAGGATTGGATCAAGTTTTGCAGTTGTTCATCGTTTCGCTTGAGTTCTTCCCATTCGCATTGCCACATGCTCACGACGCGGTAACCCGCAGCTGAAAGACTCTTCTCTTTGAGGGTGGTGGCTTCGTACACGTCGCGCATCGTCTGGTTGCACATTTTGTGACGCGTGCGGTCGCGGTCTGGGTAACACTTGGGGCATCCGTGCCAGAAGCAGCCGTTAAATTCATACACGGTCAAGTGGCATCGTCGTACCCATCCACGTAAAAGGTTTTGTCACCGCTTTGGATCTTTTCTTCACCTCCATTGAGAGCGTGTCGAATGCGGTGATCGGGGTTTCGGTTCAAGTAGGTCAACCATTCCAGGGAGGCGAGGGAATGGGGTTTCCCTTGGTGATGCCATCCACTGATGGGTTCCGAGGCGATGGTACGTTATGGCATGTGGGTGGTACGGTAGAAGAGATTGCAGGCGGAGGCTATGGTGAAACAACGTTGGAGAGGATTGAACCCACTGATGGCTTCGAATTCTTGGCAGAACACTTCGCAGGCCCCTTTGAGGAGGAGGACGTCGGATTCGCAGTAGGCCACGAGTTCGGCTTGGAAATCGAAGATCAAGTCGGGTTCGGCAAGTTGTTGGGCGTACCATCGTTCGAACTCTTGCGCGCGTTCGGTGGACATGCCTTGGGGGTCGTAATGTTCTTTGTCAGGTAGAGGTCCCACGTAATCCTGATGGTTGGGGGTGTTGAAGAAGTGGGGGAAGAAACCTTTCTTTTGTTCAGTCAGTCCGAAGGCTTTGGGAAACGCGGCCAGGGGCATTTGAAAGAAGCAGAGAGAATCTTTGAAAACAATACCACCATCGTTGATGGACAAAGATATAATCTTGGCACCATTGACCACTTGTTCGAGCACTACACGTTGTTGGTAGAGTTCATCCAGTATCAAGTAAGAATCGAACCCTTGGGAATTGTGGGCTAGGACGGTGAGGGTACAATCCTTGGCTAATTCTCTCAACCATTCCAAGAAATCGCTAATGAGAGTGGTACCTTCAAAATGAAAGAGTTCCTTGCAGTTGGAAGTAACAGCGCACACCAGATTGGGGACGTGGACACCCGTGTCTTGCATGGTTTCACTGTCCCAGTAGACAAAGAGATGATCTTTGAGGGGCACGCTCTGCGAAACGCTCTGGGAACCGTCGGCTTTGCGTTTTGTTTTTTCGTCTTTGTCGCTTTTCTTTCAACTTGGTGGGATTCTGTATGTAGCATTGGTGTTGGTAGAGATTGTGATATTCCTGGCAGGAGGGACATTCGGCGGTGCCACACACGTGACGCGTTTCCATCTCGCGAGGTCTGAGTAATCTGTTGCACCGAGGACACTTGCGTAGGGTACTGCAAACGTTTTCGATTTTTTGGGTGTCGTCGGCTTTGATACCGTCGGTCTTGGAGTACGTGTAATGATTGGCCAAACACTTTTCCCCGAAGAAGCCGCGGTGACAGCGAGGGCAGATGTGGGTGGTGTCGTTGGTGCAACGTCGATCTTCACACTGGGTTTGACAACAAGCGTAACATTTTTTACCGCTACAGGGATGATGAGTAATGTCGTCGGTCTGGTAGGCCGTTTCGCACTCGATGCAAAAGTAACTTTTTCCCAGGAAGCCGGGGAGAGAATTACAACCGTGGTAATGTTCACCCACTTTGATGAGGATGATTTGTTTGTCACGCGTTGGCCCTTTGAAAATGATTTGATAATTATGGTCCAGGGAAAGCACCACGATCTGATCATCGGTGAGATGATGTTGGAAGGTGTGGAGTTCGGGGAGTCCACAAGGTCCTTCACCCGCTGCCTGATGGAGGGCCTTGGCCTTTCTGGTTTGAGCAGGTTTACCGCGTCGAAGGGTGTCGTACTCGGTGTGCCGACTACCCAGGTCACAGTAGGCTTTCATGGTGACCAGAGCCCTTGCACAACAGAGTTCATCCTCGTTGTTGATGGGGATGACACTCTTTTTACGAGTGAGTAGTTTGTCCAGGGCTAAACTGGCTTTACGAAGTCATTGTTTACCACTACCGCGTCCGGGATCTCGGATATGTGAAATGTGTAACGAGAAGGTGTCATCCAATCGGAACTGTTCGTTCGAGTTTAACATTTTTGAAATTTGATGCATGATTTCTTGGACTCTTTGAGTATTGTCCATCCATTCTCCGACACGTAGACGAACCGAGTGATAGGCGTGTCTCAAACGGTTGGAATTGATGTTGATGAGAAAGTGATCGTTGCGATCGACTTCGGGATATTGGATGAGTTGGTTACGTATGGCGCGTTGAAGGGCTTGCTCTATTTGGTGCGGTAAGATTTGGCTTGGATGATTGGAGAGAGGTGCAGCACCACCGCGTTGCATTAATCGGCCCACATACTTTCGGTGTTGGACTCCTAATTTGCGAACACGTCGATCCAAGTGAGGTGTTAAAAGAAAATCAAAGCCTTGTTCAAGTTCATCCAAATGTTGAACTAAGAGGGCGTTGTCTTCTTCGTCAAAGGTCTCGTCGTGGGTGTGTGTTTTGTTCTATTAAAAAAGACCATCACAAATTTGTTTTTTTAATTTTCATCATCATCATCGTCTATGAGGTCTGTGTACCAACGGATGTGAGGCCTAAAGGGACCGAACACTGAAGAATAAGCCTTTCTATAATAACGTTTAAAGTTATGGAGTGCGTGTTCGCAACTGTTCCCTAGGTGGGTTTTTAGCCAGCTTTGATGCATAGTGCCGAAATACCACCCATAGATTTGCGTGCGATAAGGGGGTCCCTTAAGTCTCAAATTAGCACGAGGTTTCCACAAACGTAGTTCTATCCTTCCTAAATCCCATCGTCGTTTCAGTTTGCCATAATCTAAAATGTCTTGGTGAAGATCAACTAACAATTTGTTTCTTCTTTGTTCTCTTATCATCTGCCACGCGGCCAAATTCAAAATGGGTAGTTGTATCTCGGGGGGTAACCAATCCCAATAACTCTAAAAAAGAACAAAAGGGTCTAAGGTTAGCACGCAATCAAGTAGTGGGATTTGTAAAAAAGATGAGGTACTTACTGCTTCCACAATCTCGTTGGAGTTGTTTGTCTCCTCCTTCTCCACGGAGTCCATGTACTCGTTCAATTCTTGATCTGACATCTCCTGGTCCATAGCGATAAGGCTTTTGTTGCAAGAAAAAACTCACGAAGCGCTCGATACGAGTTGAAAACTCAGAGTGATGAAATGAGTGAGCTCACCCCTTTTTATGAAGGACCTAAATGGAAACGAGGCCATGTCCTTGTTTTTTTGATTGGGGGGTGACTGGAAGGTTGGCGGGAAGGAGGGGGATACCCCCCACCCCCCACTTTTTACCCATGACGTCACGTCATCACGTCAGTTCATTACAAATGCATGTGGGGTGGTGTATAAAAGAGATTCGTCTTGTGGACTCCTCACTCTGAGTTTCTTGAAACTTGTATTGAGCGCTTTTTTTTATTTCTATCCTCATCATGCTTACCCGTTCCACCTCCTTACAGTTAGAGAAAGCGAGACGGTGAATGCATGAATTTAGAAGTGGTTTGTGGCCTCTGAAGAAACTGCGAGTGGTGTTAAACGATTGTGGACGAGTCCCGTCACTACGGGCACCACTTCCACCCTCACCACCGCAACCGTCTTCATCTGACCTCGAAATTGTGAAAATTGTTTATAGAGAGAATAAAAGGCAACAAGAGTTAATTCCACCACCCTCAACACCGCAACCATCCACCTCCTCCTTTACACCGGACCTTGAAATCGTGAAAATTGTTCACCCCTCCTCAACCTGGCAGGCACAACGAGAACAAGAGCGAGAACGGCGTAGAGTATGGCAAAGAAACAACCCCGAGAAAGTACGGGAATATAAAAGGAAACATAAAGAGAAGAAGAAAAGGCAACAAGAGTTACTGTCCCCATCATCTACCTCTTCTACGTATGCCAATTTGTCAGAAGTCGAGAAGTCAAGAATGTATCGAAAGAAATGGAGGCAAAAAAACCCAAGAAGGTGCGCGAACTGAAAAGACGGTATCGTGAAAGAAAGACAAAAAAAAAAAACTTACTAGACCCATCATCTACCACTTCTACGTACACCAATTCTACGTACACCAATTTGTCAAAAATCGAGAAGCAAAGAATGTGGCGAAAGAATTGGAAGCGAAAAAACCCCGATAAGGTGCATAGGCAATATCTACGTTACAAAGAAAGAAAAAGACAAGAACGTGATCCCAATCGAATTCTTTGCGAGATGTTTGGGTTGGCCGAGGTACCTCCACCATCTCCATCATCATCATCTCTATCACTACCACCTCTACCTTCCCTCTCACCGCAATCCTCCACCTCTACGTATGTCGAACCTCCTCCCTCCGTCACACCCTTAGTGCAGAGACGTGAGAGAAGGAGGATTCAACTGAGAGAGTGGAGGAAGAAAAACCCTGAAAAAGTTCGAGAACAGCATAGGCGGTACAATGCAAGACATCCCGAAAAAACTCGGGAAAGGTCCCATCGTTACAGAGAAAGAAAAAGGCAACTGAGAAATGCATCTCCAATGGAGCGACAAGACGATGTTGACCCCGATCAACTTCTTTGTAGTTTGTTTGGGTTGCCCGAGGTACCTGCTCCACCGTCTCCAGCCTCTTCTTCTTCTTTGTCTGACTCGGAGAGCGAAGTGGACGAAGGGCTGTTTCAAGAATTAGAGGCGATGTTGGCTGAACCCGAACCGAAAGAAGCCGAAACCCTCGAAATATCAACCGAACTGGACGAGGAGGTGAGTGGCCCCATCAACAAGGAGAGCTATGCACCTCCTCCATCCTCACCCCCATCTAATCCCATCCAATACAGACTCCATCAACTTAGACAAAATCGAAAAAAAGCAGAACAAAATAGAGTGAGGCGTATGCAAGAATCCATCGTGAATGAGGAACTAAAGGCTGAATTGGACGTGATGACAAGAATGTTTTGCGACATGAAGAGAATGATGGCCCAACGTGAACGTGAGGATAGGATAGCTCAAACTTCTCAGTTTACCTATTTTCGCCAGGTAGAAAACACCACTGAACTCATGCATGAGTTTGAACATTATTTATTTTCACATCCTGTCAATAGTCAATAACAAATGTAAAATTTTTT